GGGGGGTTAAGATTACACAAGCATACACGAATAGCCATGAACCACACAAACAAAAGAGATGCAAAAGGGAGGAGATTATGCGGAGGAGAATAAAGAGTACAGCTGAGGAGAGTAAGCCGGGAGGGGTGAGCCCTCGTTAGCAAGTACTCCGTTCCGAACTCAGTCTTTCCAACGAGCTCCTGCCTTCGCCCGAGCCAGACGTCGAGCCATGGCTGGTCCGCGATTGCATCGATGGAGAGCCAGAACCCGACCTTGAATGTGCTCCACGTTCAGCACGCACATTCGAAGTCATCATCCGACTATCGTTCCTCGAGTTCCCGTCTTCCCTCGCTCGCGACACCTCTTGGCGCTCTTCTTCTCCATCCACCTCCATATCTGTTCTCCGTCTCGAAGAGACATGGGATTTATGAGGAAGAGTAGGGGAAGTGAGGGAGGAAATGCTCATCAGGGGCGTTCGCGACGCGTGTCGGCCACTAGGGTTCGGGAGCGGGGGAGACCGCGAATACCGACTGCGCGTTTGCTGGGCATTGACGCTCTTGTGACTCGCAGCAGGGGACGAAACACTTGAAGAAGTCGAGAGATGTGACTGGGCATCCATTGACGGCGAATTGCTGGTGATGGGCGGTAGCTGATTCGTCTCCGAGGAGGAAACGGTGACCAAGTTTGCATGCAACACTTGGAGAATTGTTTGATGTAAGGTAGCCATAGACGCAATCCTCTACAAAAAGGGGTCAGAGACCTTTCTGGAAAAAAAAGAGCTAAAAATAAACGGCGTCGCTCACCTGATCCTCTGCGGCTTTTGCGTTTAAAATAGTGAGCAACATTTCCCGATCGCCGTCGCCTTTTATCCGATAAGCACCCAGGACCTCTCTGAGGCTGGGGGCAGGCGGCTGGTCAAAGGCGAGGATCGCTGCCTGCAAAGCGCGACTCTGCTGCTCGAGGAGTTGGAGACTGGAGAGATTGGGTGCGTGCTGGTGCCCATTGTTGGTGGTAGTATGTGCTGTTGCGGGAGTCGTGGCAAAGCCAGCATGGTGATGCGGGTGAGGTGTATACAGATTCATCGTTCGTTCGTTCGTCTTCGTCGTCTGAGACAGCGAGCAAGAGCGGGGAGCGTCTGCTACGTGGAGGGGGGGAATCCAAACACAACTGGGTCTTGGGTTCCTTTCATTTTGCAGAGGCTGAGCTTTTTTATCGCTGGAGCGAGTGTGCCAAGCACTCTTGGCGGTTTACGGGCTATATTAAGACAGGCCCAAATTAAATGCGTGTCGTCAACATCCACTATGCACACTAGCATATGCGCTGCGCTGGCTCATCATACTTTTTGCGCTCCGACTTGTAGCCATTTTGTCATTTTTTTCATCATTTTAGAACAGGTTACAACTAATTGGGTGGGCGGCCCGCTAGCTCTTGGTATATCTGCCACCTTGGCATAGTCTAATCTTGGCATCTCTTGATCCCAGCCTCAGATAGACACACCCACACGGCTGTCATGCAGCACCATTCCCGACTGATTACGTTAGCAATTGATTACGCATCTGCCAAGGGTATAATTAGAAACAACCGCTCCCAGGGTCTTGTCCGACAACGCACAGTATGAGGTTCCAGAAACAATCGTAGACAACGCAAGTGTCTGGTCTTCGTTGAACAATTTAGAGTCTGCATGCCAGTTGTCCTAAAAATGTCGCACCGAAGGGTGGGGCAGGGCGAAAGGTAAGTATAGATCTCATCGGCAATACAAGGAAGAGAATGGCGCCATTGCGGCGACTGTGCAACTGACCTGGTGATTCTGCTGGAACTCTTGTCCAAAGGACCGGATGCTGTTCGAGATCGGAGTGGGCTCCGTCGCATATTTGCTCAATATTTCAATCAGTGGAGGCATCCATTCGGGCACCGTAAACGGATACGACCTCGCCAGCGCGATCAACCCAAGTACCGCACCGTGCCGCTGCCGTATCGTCTTTTCGTAATCCGGCGATGACCGAGATGGCAGCACCAGCTTGCGTGTTTGGCGAGTGAACCGTTTCTATCCGATAGATCAATCATACCGTTGCGCTGGCTGACGTGGAATGCTGACCTGTAGACTACTAATCTTATTTTGCATACTGCTTCGAATCACGAGCGCCAGATTCATCGATGCCGATGACCTGACTTCTACATTCTCGTCCTCCAAGCTAGCCAGCATAACCTCTAGAATTTTTGGAATATCATCTGTATCCGACCACCGTTCCAGGTACCTCAGGAAGATGGCCGAGACCATGCTCGAGGACCGCTGTCGCACTCTCCACGACAGCGAAGTCTGGAACATGTCCACCAGCGATTTGAACAATGGCCGAATGTATATCGTCGGCAGAGAAACTGACAAAATCATGCGCGTTATTCCTGTCCCCAGTGCCGTGAGCATCGGGTTGTCTGTGATTTCGACCGTCTGGAGAAGCTCTGGCCTATAGAAAAAACCGGTACGTCAATAATGATGATGACGATGATGGGGATGGAAGGCTCACAGCATATGTTGAAGATATGGTAGGTAAATATAGGCACTCGTACTCGAGATGGCACCCATCATCATTTGCATAATCGTCGACGCCCCTCGATCAAAGTCGGACTGGAGAGAGTGGGGTGGCGGGAGACGCGACTTTCTCCATTGGGCTAGCTTGGTTGTAACATCTAGGAATTGCTGTCTATAGGGTGCAGCACGGGTCTTGAAGACGTCTTCCTGCGAGCTGCATGCTTCCATCAGAGCACCCATACTCTGATAACTAGGTTGCCACTACATGTGCGACATATGTAAGTGATTGCCTATTGTCATTCCTCAAAATAACTTACATCATATTGAATGACGATGCCCATGATTAGTGCGATATAGCGTTGGGCCTGAATATCGAGATCAGTCTCCTTCCAGACCGAAGGGGACAGTGCACCTACCACTTCATACGGGGTGTTGATATTGTCAAACATGATCTGTATCATCCTCTCTGCATGTGGGAGGTAGTATCTTGGAGCGACTGCATGATAAAAGTTGGCCAAGAATCGGAGTTGCTTTCGCACTGGATATGCTTATAAGCGCCAATTCAAAACTGAACTATACAGACACTTACAAGTAAACGCCGAATCATTTCCTAAATCCCAGTCAAGAGAAAAGAGCCAGTCAACCATTGGCTGGCTTCGCCGAGGATCGCGGCCAGTGAAACACCACTAGAAGGCGTCAGGAGCGGCTTTCCGTCTTCCGATCGTACGACTTACGGAAATGAAACTTTCCCAGAATAGAGTATCTGGTTTTAAATTCTGGTATATAGTTGGCCAACGTTCCATAATCCACTCCCATAATGCAGTGGTCTCTTCCTTGTTCCAGTGTTTACTTCCTATATCACTTTATTAGATTTTGGAATTGCAGATGAGAGTTCATTTACCTGCAACGAGACCAGAAAAGACTTCTAAACAGGCACGTTGTTTGAATCGGTTTTCATCCTGCCAGAGTGGTTCTACTGCCTCACATATGGGTTTGAAGAATTCTGCCCCATATATCTCGCCTGTCCAAAAATAAACCTTACAGCACCATTGATTTGTTTTTGCTTACATATCCGATGGATCCATCGCACACAACTAGAAGAGGTGAGGGATTTTCAAAGCGAACATGGGTATTGACTTACTCATCTCGCGTATCCAAATTAGTGGGATCGACGTTCGGCTCCTCTGCATAATATTCTACTAATTTGGTGAAATAGCCTTCGGTGCGAAGGACTTCTCGAACTTCGTTGAGCATTGGCTGAGACGATTCGTGCCATTGGAAAGGTGATTTGCCCGTTTGCGGTACGTGGCCAAAAACAGTACCCCATACAACCCATCCGTAGCAGAATGTATGTGTACCATCAAAGTAAAGCCTTTGTACCATTGTCAGTGCCTTGGGCGTTACGCCTGGAATCCACTTACTCTCCATTGCTTGGAGTCACCTCCCTCTTACCACATTCAACAAACTCTGGAGTATCCTTTGGCTGAATCTCTCGATGTAGAGGGCAATGTCCTTGCGCTGTCCAGAGATCGTAGGGTGTTTGGCAATAAGTTCGAATTTGGACATGATAAAAGACCATATCGAGACCACTACCAACGAGTTTAGAACCCTGATGAATCCACAGTATATTTACTTACTTTCGGCCTCCAGAGCGGATCGTTGGGTGGGTGTGGATGGTACAATTGGTCAAGTAGCGGACATAGTTCGCTGGAGGGACAATTTCTCGACTTCTCATATGCGTGAGTGCATTGAGAGCCATCTGCGCATACTTCCACTATTGATAAAGTGTTAGAAAAGGCGTGTAGCATATGAAACATTGCTTACATGGGTCGACGGTCGCTGAGCAATGTCCAAAATCTCGAGGAACTATATACAAGTCAGAGAAAATGTCATAAACTTAACAATCTACTTACGGAGGACTGAATGGCTTCGTTCAGTTGGACAAACCGAACGGCCAGCTTTTCTCGAGCCGATGCTTCCAATTTCATATCTCTCGTCGGATATACACGGGTGAGGTCATTGATAGCGTCGGTAACGTCCGTGTCGTCTGGCAAGATGATCGGCACCTCTTGCCTCAATGCGTGGATACCTACAAGAGATGAGTGCTATTCAAGCTAGCGAGTCAAGACTAACCGAGATCAAAGACTGTGGCAGTAAGAGCTTGAATCGAATTCTATAAGATGGGGTTAGTGATTGAGTTGCTTGTATGGATATCACCTACTTTGTCGTGATATTGCAAGCCGAGGAGCGAAATGAAAAAGAGCTTGGACAGAATGGGATTGTTAACGGCCAGCGAAGGTAGGTTTCCTAATCTTATGGTGTGTAAGGATCCTTTGATCCTGTCAGCGAAATCTAGCGACTTGTCTCCTTTCTCGGCGCGAGAGTCGGATTGGAGGAATTCCATCATTCGCGTCACGACATACTCAGAGTGCATATCCGACACCTATAAAACTTTTAGAACGGCTCGATGATACATTGGTGTACATACTCCGGCTATCGCTTGTGCAAGGTTTTGGGCATTTCTACAACAAGATTTAGCATCCCGATTCAATGAGGGTGAGACGACCAACCTCCTGATCTTTACATAAGGAGACCTGCAGAACTCCAAGATTTCTAACACAAGAAGCTTGTCAATCTCGTTATATGGTCGGCATCGAGCCAAGTGTTGTAGGCGGTAATGATGATCGCATTCAGCAAACTTGGTCCAATAGTTTCTTGGCATATCATATTGGCGCCGACTGAATACCCAGGCTCTTCTGCCACTATCGAAACCTGATCTCTTTCGACGTGCCGTCTCGTCCTTGATTCCATGATGAAAGAGGTATGTGTCGACGGCCGTAATCAGCGCTGAAATACGGCGTTAGTACTGGTCTAAATTGATGATATCTCCTACCTGAAACTGCATCCGTGTGATCTTCTGTTTTTTCTGCCCGTAAGCTACCAGCGGCGGCATGCAAGACTTTTCCAAGCTGCTCGCGATACCCAAGCACTGCTCCATAGCGAGGGTCTTTTGGATCCGTCAAACACAGACTTGCCAATGGTCGGAAAGGGTGTTGTTGCAACTCTGGGACGTCATATTCCTTCAAAATCGCCTCACTCAGAGAATCACCCCCTTGTAAGCTGATTAGAGTATCTAGTCCTCTCCAGGAGCTGGTGACGACGTTGATGTATCTTTAAAATACAGAAATTAGATTGAGGAACGAATATTTGGGCGAACAGGACAGACCTGCACTAAGAAAAAGGTCAGCACAAAATACCGAGGATTAATAGGAAAAGCCTACAAAGTCATTGCGCCAAATCTTGTCACGTGAAGGAGCAGGGATGTCTATCAACTGCTGCACGAGGAGCATGGCGGGATTGGTAATCTCTTGCAGTATCTCCAGTGCAAAGTTCACTTCCTCATCCGTCGGAACATGCCAGTCGACATTGACTTCATGGCCCTCATAAAACTTTCCCCATTTACGATGAGAACTCCTTTCAGTAGCTGACACTGAGGTGAGATTAATCCTGAAAAATACTCCAACACCCACCAGCTTTCTTCCATTCGTCATCGTTCAAAGATTGTCGATTTGATGGATATACGGCAGTTAAGGAGTATAAGATGGTTTTGACGATGGATCCTGTCAGGCTGTACGACCTTTCACTTTTGATCTTCTCCACGAGTAACCGGAGAAGAGAAAGTAAGGTTTCCCTGTGAGGAAGGAGCTGCCATGGCTTTAGCTAGCAAATAGGAGGGACTAGGGTTTACTTACAGATTTGCCAGCCTCTTGCAAGGCAGCCTGGAACAGTGATAGGTCTTTTCATGATCAACAACATATCACATAATTATGTGAGTGTACATACTCCAAAGTAGAGCCGTATCTCCATGAACTATATCCAAAGTACTGGTCGTTGGAATGCTCGCAGCGCCATGTTCCAGTTCTGTTTCAATCTGCCGCACGCAGTGAGGAATAAACTTTGCAAGCGCCTTGGCCGGCTGGATTCGCGCTATTCTCCTGAGAAGCTGACAGAATGCTTTCATAGAGTTGAGCTTTGTGTTGGTGCTGGCAAAGTCGTATATGCGATTCAACAAGCTGTCGAATATATCCTCTGAAAGTTGGGTGCAGATCACATCT